ACGATACCACGCCTGGCTGATTTTTGATTTATAGTAGAGATGAGGTCTCGCTGCCCAGGCGGGTCTCGAACCCGCGGGCTCAGGCAATCCACTCACCTCAGCTTCCCAAAGGCGTGGGATTACAGGCTGAGCCACCGAGCTTCTAACACTTAAAAACTTTCCTGGCTGGGCAAGGTGGCTCAACCTGTCATCCCAGCACTTTGGGAGGCTGAGGTGGGACAATCCCTTGAGGCCAGGAGTTGGAGACCAGCTTGGGCAGCATAGTGAGACCTCATTTCCACAGAAAAGCAGCAAAATGAGCTGAGCGTGGCGGCATGCACCTGTAGCACCAGCTCCTCAGGAGGCGGAGGGAGGAGTTCCCTTGAGCCCAGGAGTTCAGTGAATTTTGATTGCACCACTGCACTCCAGCCTGAGTGGCAGAGTGAGACACGGTCTCTCTGAAAACAGCTGCACAGTTTTTCTGACAAGATTGGTGGTGATGCTAAGAGACACGGAAGTCTGTGTTGTGTGAGGAAAGGTGTTAACATCGGGAAGGCTCGTGGAACTCTGGAGCCAACGTCTCCCCAGAGGACCAGCTTAGGATGTTGCAGAAGCACATATGGGTAGGAGACCCCTTCGGTGTGCAACACAGACCCGGGAATTTCTGTATAACACAGCCAAAAAGCTCGTGGATGTGGCTTCAGAGTCCAGTTTGCAGCTAACTCTCAAGAATCTCCACTTGTTGAATTTTGGTGTCGAATAGAAGATTAATAACCATCATTATTGGAAAAGGCTCTGTTACAGTACTCTTCCTGCCAGGTGCGGTGGCTCACACCTGTCATCCCAGCCCCTTGGGAGGCTGGGGCAGGATTGTTGAGCCCAGGAGTTTGAGACCAGCATCACATATCTGTGTGAGGCACATTTTCTTCATATACTTCAATCAAAACAACATATCATCACAACAAACTGGAGGCAGAGTAGATTATGAGAATCTAGCTGTCTCCCATTAAGCTAGACATTAAGGAAATTTGCATATATGTAAAACTGTGTCACTGTGATTCCTTTTTTTGTTTTGGGAAATATTTTGTATAGGAGATATTATTTATATTAACATGTGATGGTCTTATTTTAAATGATTTAATAAAACAAATACCTCACATTTTATGAGTTTTAATTCATAATGTGATAAATAGCAATCTATGTGGCCCACATAAACAAAAGCTATTTGGCATCCTCGGTGATTAAGGATGTAAATAAAGAGATCCTGCAAACATAGAGTTTGACAGTTGCTCTTGTAAGCTGTGTTATTGCCTGAATTACTGATTGTTCCATTGTTTATGTGATCTGCACTGTATTGCTGTTACTTCTGAGTATGCAGTCATTCGGCTTTTGTTTGGCTGCTGCATTTTAGGGTGCACGTAGCAGTTAAGCTCAAGTAGACAAGGGACCTCCTTGGCTTGGTCTTGAGATAGAACTAGCCTCAGACTGCTGGATCCAGTTCCTCAACTGTGTCGTCAGGACTCCATGTCTTGGTTGTGCTCTTCTTTCTGTTCAATTCTCAGGCAGTTTCCAGGCTAACTAGTCACAGCTTCCCCATCCTAGGGAGGGCTTTTTTCCTCTCTGAAATTTTATCAGAAACGCGGGATCTGTTATTGGCCTGGCTTGAGTTCTTTTCTGTCTCTGAAAAAACAGTTTGGCTCTGGTTAGTCTGGGAATTGTCTCACCTGGGAATTGTCTGGGGAGATTCTCCTTGGAAAACCAGACCACTGTGTTACAGAAGGGGAAATATACACTGGTAAACAAAGACGATGTCGCCTATGGTACTTTGTTTCTTTTTTTAGCAACCTCTAATTTATTAATCCGACAATGTTAACTTTTAGATAAGATTATTTAAAAGTGAAGCTGGAATACCAAAAGTTACCACAAAAACATTCTTTTTATTGCTTTAATTGCATTATCAGTCCTCTGGAAGGTCTCTAACTGCCCTCAGTCTGAGAAACCTCAACTTGGTGTCTCGAATGGAGTCCATAACTTGTGCTGCAGGCGACTGAACTAACCCTGAATGTCTCCCCTCCCCTTGGTTAAACTTAAGCACTTTTCTCAAATAGACTCATAATAAGTAGCTTATTGATCATTGACCAAAAGGCTTAATGCTTCTAGAAAATATATGTCAGACACATATGCAGTCAGTTCGAAAGTAAACTAATATCTGAGAAATAAAGTCAGCATTCATGAACTCAAGTTTATGAGTTTACATGAGAGCCTCTCAGGGCAGTATTCGGCATGGTTAATTTCAGAGAGCGTCTCTATTTGGTTATCTGGCTTTGTAGTCCATTGCTGTTACACCTGCGGTCAACATCAGGTGACGGTGTATGATTGATAGCAGGGCTAGAGGAGAAACACAGTAAGTAGATACAGGAACAAGCTTGTCCCTTTTGCTGACTCTGTAGCTCCCAATCACTCTTTACTTGGCTTTGTCTGATACCCGTGTATGTGAGTGACTTTCAGAGAGGCCTGACTTCTCTACGAAGCTCTTCAAACTCAGGATGTCTGAAACTGAACGTCTTACATGCCGCTGTTGAGGTTTCTTATTCTTTGTCCTTCAGTTAACACATCTAGGAAATGGGTCATCTGTGGACCCTTCTTTCACCCTCCATATTCAGTTGGCCAAAGCGTCCAGTCTGTTCTACCTAGAAATGTCAGTGTCTTGTAGACTCTCCTCTTTGGTTCCTGCTGTCTGTGCCCCTGGTCTAGGACCTTCTTACTCTTCTGATCATTGTTTCCTAACTGGCTTTCTGCCTCCTCTTCCAGAGCTGTTCTCCCGGACCTCGCTGAAGTTTGCCTTCTAGTACAAATATAATGCGGCGCCTCCCCTCTCTGATGTCTGCCCTGCCACCACTGACTCTAAATAAATCCTTTGTGCTCTTACATTACTCTCTGCGTTTTCCTGTTGTTTTCCTTTAGCCTGGCAAATTCTTGTTCACTTGTGGTCACGAGTGCTCTTCTACCAGCATCCTGATGACTCTCTTCTGGCACATGGTGGTAGCATTGCCCTTCTGTGTCTCCCTCATCTCCCGTGAAATTAGGCGCGGCCCAGGGTTTCTCAGCCTTGGCACTATCGACATTTGGGGCTGGGTAGGTTTTTATTTTGCTGGCCATCCCACGTGCATTGCAGGATACTTAGCAGTGGCCCTGGCCTTTGCCTACTAGATGCCTAGTCATTTCCAAGGTGACCATCAGAAATATTTCCAGACATTGCCAGGTGTTCCCTGAGGGACATAGTTGCCCCTGGTTGAGAACTACTGGCATGGCCATATGACTTTGCCCATTCAGATGTGAATAGAAGCGATAGCCTTTAAAGGATAGTGCATAAGCTGTCCAATACCTTTCCCCTCCTGTTTAAGGATGTACATAGAGATGGAGCTTCGCCAGCCTAATCCCTGAGAGATGACAGTGAGCCGTGCCCCCAGCTGATCTGTGGTGAGCAAGTAGGGTAAGCACAAAATAAGATTTGTATGAAGTGACTGGTATTTTGGGGATTTGTTGTCATTGCAGCATAGACTGGCAGATGCTGACTAGACATCCTGCTAAGACTTAGCTTAATCTGTGGGCTTGGGCCTTCATTTATAGTCTCAAGTCAGTTTGTACCTACCTCTCTTAGCATTATTACTTAGTGTAGTTATATTTTTGGGTCTGCTGGATCAGTAGTTCTCAAAAGAGTAAGCACTGCACTTTAGGGCGTATCGTGGAAACTTGTGGGAGGATCTTTGGTGGGGGAATGTCAGGGATGCCATCCCACAATGGAGAGACAGTGAAGGATGACCCTACATCCCACAAGAATTTCAGATGCCTCAGACATTCATATAAGAGGAAAACACAATTAGCCTAGAACGTAACTTCATCTTAAGAGATACTCACTTTTACAGGAGTTAAATTTCTCTTAATTCATTTTGTTAATTGAAGTTGGTTTGTGTTTAGAACCTTATCAGGAGTTCACCATTTGGGAAAACCCATTTTATGCCAACTGCATTGCCATTGTGCTCTTTGAGTTGCTGATGCAACACACCTGTCTTGCCAGATCTGATTTTGCAGCTGTCATATTTGTAATGATTCTACATGTAAGTACAGGCATCTAACTTCTTTATTATACAGTCTAAGTTAATTGGTGTGCCTGAAAATTTACATATTGAAATACACATTTTATTATATGCGAATCTTTTCCTCCTTTTTTGTTACAGTTAGGGCATTGTTAAATTTTTTTTTTTTTTTTTTTGAGTTGGAGTCTCACTCAGTCGCCCAGACTGGAGTGCAGTGGCCGCTCCTGGCCACCGCAGCCTCGCCTGCTGGGCTCCGGCAATCCTTCCACCTCAGCCTTCCAAGTAGCCGGAATTACAGGCGCGCGCTACCACGTCCGGCTGATTTTTTGATTTATTGTAGAGATGAGGTCTCGCTGTCCAGGCAGGTCTCGAACCCGCCGGCTCAGGCAATCCACTCAATAGGTTAGAATTTTGTTTCAGTATAGCCAAGGGAGTGATAAAAATTACTTGTTAGAGAGAATGGTATGCTGGTCTGAGAGTTGAGACCTTCTAATTATATGCTACTTGTTTTTGTATCTGTGGTGCTTTGCACATGACAGATACAGTGTTTGCTGAGTTTGTCAATTTATGCTTCCCAAATTACTTTTATGTACATTGTTGCATTTAATTACTATAGCAAGTTTGCAGTGTTGGTAGGGCATACGGTTCCATTTTATAGACGAGAGAGTGGAAAGAGATGTTGGTATTTAGTCATGCTGTTAGAGGTTTAAGTAGAATATAGAATTTTATTTATGCCAGTCTTGTGCCCTTATACTCCCATACTTTCATTATATAGACCCACTTAATGCAGAAATATATCCGTATCCCTGCTGGTGTTTTGTATACATGGAACTTTCAAGTATGCTTCAGACTCTTGGGACCGTAGGAATGCAACAAGATGAGAGAGCTGTGTTGTTTAAGAAAGCAAGACCAAAACCAGGCCCAGTAGCTCACACCTGTCATCCCAGCACTTTGGGAGACCAAGGAGAGAGGACTGCCTGAGCCTGTGGGTTCGACACCAGCCTGGGCAACGTGGCACAACCTGTCTCTACAATAAATCAAAACACTTAGCCAGGCATCAGGTGCTGCGCCCTTGTGGTTCCAGCTACTTGGAAGGATAGCCTGAGCCCAGCAGGCCAAGGCTGCAGTGGCTGTGAGTGTGCCACTGCACTCCAGCCTGGGTGACAGGGTGAGATTCTGACTCAAAAAAAAAAAAAGAAAGCAAGGCCATTATCACTGGTGTTTGAAGAAACTTGGTATTAATACAACCTTTGAACTACCATTAGGCCCCAGAATAGCATACATTTTAGAAATGATGACGTCTGATGGTGAGATTGTGGTGAAATAGTTGCACTCAAACATTTTACATTATAAATTGGTACATATCTTTTGAAATATAATATCAGAAAATGAATTCAAAAAGAATTTGCAGTTGTCAAAATCCCTTGTAAGAAAGTACCACAAGAAACAACAAAGTACCATATGTGTTCACTCATAAGCAGACCTCGAACAATTATCATAATACTATAAGAAAGGGATTGGCAAACTGGGAGGAAACTGTCAGGGGAGGGAGGGGCGTACCTCATCAACAAGGATACCTGCATAATCAACGTTTGTATACCTAACCCCGAATTGTACCCCACATCTTTATTAAAAAAAAAAAAAAAAGTACCACAGAGTAAAGTGCGGTAGTCAATTCACAAACACTTGCCTGGCATATGTCAGGAACATTGCACGGTGATGGGAGTTTCTAAGATGAGCAAGTGTTATTTCTTGAACTTATTGATTTGTGGCACCAATGTGAGACATGATCAAATAATATAATGTGTTAAATTGTAATAGAGGTGTGTTTTAAGTTTGAGGACGGGTCAAGTAATATCCCAGGGAACACTCAGTAAACACACCAGGGAAGTAATTCTCCTCTGGGATTGAGAGGAAAGGACACTGTGTGTTAGGAGAAGGTGTTGGAGAAGTTGAGATCAGCTGTACTTTATTTATTCTTTTTGAGTCGGAGTCTGACTCCGTTGCCCAGACTGGAGTGCCGTGGCCGCTCCCAGCCACCGCAGCTTCGACCTGCCGGGCTCTGGCGATCCTTCCGCCTCAGCCTTACGAGTAGCCGGAATTACAGGCGTGTGCTACCACGCCCAGCTGATTTTTTAATTTTATTGTAGAGTTGAGGTCTCGCCTGCCCAGGCAGGTCTCGAACCCGCGGGCTCAGGCAATCCACTCACTTCAGCCTCCCAAAGGCGCGGGATTACAGGCTGAGCCCGGCTGATCAGCTGCACTTTAAAGGATGACCAGGAAGTTAACAAGTGGATACAACAGGGCTGGGTGTTTTGGGCGAAAGAAATAGTGTGAGCAAGCATCTGAAAGCACACACAGAAAGGGCATTCATTGGACAAGATGACTTTAGTGTCCTGCTAATTGGGCATACAATATAATGGTGAGTAAGACAAGTCCAGTCCCATTCCCTAGAGCTTTCCATCCAGAAATTAAAATTGTTGTCGGGTGGGCATTCAGATTTCAAACTGGTGGTTCCCTGGGGTCTGTTCTGAGTTGAAGTTGTGTTTTGCTTGACACACACAGTGGCCCCTCTTCTCTTGTTCCCTCTCTTCTTCCTTTTCCCCATAAATAAGTCACCAGTACTAAAAAGTGGGATTTCACATCCCGGTGTGCACTTTTTTAGTTTCTCTTTAAATTGAAGGTCTGACTACAGTGGACTAGCATTCTCCAGTGTCACTTCTGCTGGAAGTGAGTCGTGGCCAGTCGCTTCAGATGGGCACACATTTGTGCCCCTCTGCACTTTTCTTTGCACATGACACTTTCTGTTCATTTTTGTAACTTGCTTGCCTCCTGGATGCCTTTGAGTGGTGGGTTCTGGATCAGGACTTCAGTTCTGTCCCTTCCCTCCTGCATTTTCTTTGACAAATTTTAATAGGAGAAAATGCAGGAAAATGTATAAGACGTTTTAGGAAAAATCTTTTAAAACAAATATTTTAATGTTCAGATAATAGCTACTTTCTACTGAATACCATGTGCCAGACACTCTTGTTTCTATTTTTTTCCTTTGAGCTCTCTGTACCTACCTCCTTTCAATCTCGGTTCAGAAAGTTCAAGTAACTTGTCTTACTGCTTAGTGTGAAAGCTGGGATTCTGATTCAGATCTCTGACTCCAAAACCCCTCTTGCAAGTAACCTTTTGTTATCCAGAAGGGGCACCTTCTTCATACGTGTATTGAGTGAGAGCACGTGCTATCAGACATATGAAAAACTGCTTATTTTCATGGGGTTGATAATGAGTTGAAGAGACAGGAATTTATGTAGAAAGGATAGCAGTAAAGGGAAGCAAGCGCTAATATACCAGGTGACTGATATAAATTTTAAGGAGAATGAATATCACAACAGTGGCAGGCAGAATAGAAAGGAAAAGACAGAAATGAGTTAGATTAAGAATCTTGTAACTTTGTGAGGGACTGTGGGGACAGTAAGAGGAGGAGGAAGGTCAGAGATGATTTGCTGAGCTTTCAAAGGCTGCACAATCGAATGGATTGACACTTTAACAAGTCAGGGTCTTCAGAAGAGTAACAGGTTTTGGTAGAGCAATGATGAGTTTTGTTAATGTGGGGGGTGATTTACAGATTCAAGCATATAACAAAATAAAATAAAAGCAAAATAAATCTGGAATGTAGCATCATCAGTGAACAAATAGAGCACCACCTGCATACAGAACACACACCAGTGCTGCTTTGTCTTGTTTATTCTTAGGCTGATGGCCTTTCCCATTCTGTGTGGGATCTTGAGGTCAGATAAGTCGCTTTAGTTTTCTACGTGTTGAATGCATTCTTCCTTACTATTCATTTTTATATTTTAATTTTTTGGGGGAAATAACTTACCCTGTTGCTTTTGCAGGTAAAAATCTTTTAAGGAAGCAGTGTCCTCTCTCTTCTATCTCTATCTCTCTTTCTCTCTCTCTTTTAATAATGGTGTTATTGAGCTATGACTCACATACCATCAAATTCACTCTTTTAAAGTGTACAGTTCAGTGGTTTGTACTGTAGCCACTGAGTTGTCAACCATCACCACTCTCAATTTTAGGGCATTTTCATTGTCCCCAAAGAAACCCCATACTCATTGGCCATCATTCTTCATTCCCTTTCTCCCCAGCCCTTAGCAACCACTGATCTACTTTCTGTTTCTGGATTTGCCTATTCTGTATAATTCGTAAAATGAAATTGTATGGTATGTGACCTTTTGTGACTGGCTTCTTTCACTTAGCATATGTTTTCTAATCTAGCATATGTTATCCATTTTGTAGCATGTATCAGCACTTCATTCTTTTCTGTGGTTGAATAATATTACATTGTTTGGAATTTTATACATTCATCAGTTTATTCCATTTAGGTTGTATTTACCTTTTGGCTGTGAACAATGCTGCTATGAACATTCATGTACAGGTGTTTGTGTGGACATAGGTTTTCATTTTTCTCGGGTGGAATTGTGAAGGGTGGAATCGTTGGGTCACATGGTAATACATTTATTTGTCTGACTGTTTTCCAAAGTGGCTGTACCATTTTGTAATCCCACCAGCAGTGTATGAGGGTTCTGGTTTCTCTACTTCCTCCTTAATACTTATGTCTTTTTGATTTATTCATCCTCAGTGGGTATGAAGCAGTATCTAATTGTGGTTTCCATTTGCATTTCCCTAATGACCAATGTTGAGTCTCTTTCATATACTTACTGACTATCTTCTTTGGATAAATGTCTGTTAGAATCCTTTTGTCCATTTCAAAATTAGGCTATTTGTCTTTTTATTATTGTCTGCAATCTCTTTTAACAACAGATGGTTGTTGTTAACTGCCAGGTGGCATTTCATTCCAGGTGGTAGTGAGTTTTTAAAATATATATTAGTGATACTTTGGGGCTGAACTCGTTAATCAAGAGTATTTTATTGTGCTGATTTTCATAAGTAATCCTTTTTAAAAGTCCTGTTAGCATTTTACTTTAGGGTGACTAGTATAGTCAATAAGACTTGAACATGTCTATAATAATGAGAGTCTTAACTTTAATATTTTTGGAATGTTGATGGAATATTTTAGAAACAGCAACTTTTAAAATAAGTACTTTATTTATTTAGGTTTTAATGGCTGGTATTAAGAATTTTAAGTAATTTTAAACTCTAAGCATCAAATTTTAATTATGCATTGAGTCTCTGACTTAACCTGAGCAATTTCACTCTTTCCCAAGTAATTGAATCTGCTTTGTGAAATGTGTCTCATATCTATATGTCTCATTTTCTTTTTTTTAGGTTATCCTGAATGCATGTCTAAGTAACAATTTTCCTTACAACGTTAGCCGTTGTTTTTTACTGCCTCCAAAAGAACAAAATTGCTTCAAAACTCGGAGACATATTTGATTTAAAAGAAAAAAACTTGAACAGATGGACACTATGTCTATTACGAACACACCAACAAGCAATGATGCCTGTCTGAGCATTGTGCATAGTTTGATGTGCCATAGACAAGGTGGAGAGAGTGAAACGTTTGCAAAAAGAGCCATAGAAAGTTTGGTGAAGAAGCTGAAAGAGAAGAAGGACGAGTTGGATTCTCTGATAACAGCTATCACCACAAACGGAGCTCATCCTAGTAAATGTGTTACCATACAGAGAACGTTGGATGGAAGGCTTCAGGTTAGTCTCAATTCGAGTTTTTTTGTGCCCTCTCTGCTGGCAGATTTAAAAAATTGCTGAGTTTTCTCTTAAGCTACGGTGGCATAATTTTCATGCACGCTCTGTCTCTTCAGATACTGTGCATCCTGTACCAGTGTGCATTATGGGAATATATGGAAGAACATGCAAAAGATGTGTCTTAAAAGCTTGTTAAGGTTCTGACTCAAAATGATGTTCGGTGAAGAAAATTTGAAGAATAAAAGTAAAAAGCAGACAACCCACACACTGAGAGAACTCCCTTTAGCCCTTTGACATTCATCCTCGTAGCCTGTTTTTTCTTTTTTGGTATTATATGTACATTTGAGTGACTAAATTATACTTGATTATTTTATAATTTAGAAATTTGGTATCATGTTTCACCGATATCAGATTTTTCTTTTTTTCTTTTTTTTTTGAGTTGGAGTCTCACTCGGTCACCCAGATTGGAGTGCAGCGGCACGCTCCCAGCCACTGCAGCCTCGACCTGCTGGGCTCCGGCGATCCTTCCGCCTCAGCCTTCCAAGTAGCTGGAACTACAGGCGTGTGCTACCACACCCAGATAATTTTTTTGATTTACTGTAGAGATGAGGTCTCACCAAGTTGCCCAGGCGGGTCTCAAACCCTCGGGCTCAGGCAGTTCACTCACCTCTACCTCCCAAAACGCGGGATTACAGGCTGAGCCACTGAGCCTGGCTCAGATTTTTCACTGGTCACATTTTTTATACAGAACTACACAACACATCTCCTATGCTTAAAGAAACTTACAGAAATGTTGTCATTAGATTTTAAAATTTTATTTCTAGATTTTAGGCATAATTTCGATATCGAATTCTTACTTTTTGCTTTGCATTCTTAAAGCTTAAGCACAGGTCTTGAAATTATACCTGGGTTTAAATCCTAGCTCTGATGTGTGTCATGGCCAAGTTAGTTATTTTGAACTTTAGTTTTCTTATTTATGACTTGGAATTATAATACTGACTTTGTAGAATTGTAGCTTGATTGAGAACATGTATAAAGTGTCTTGTATGATGTCTGACACATAACTAATACTCAATAAATGGTGGGGTTTTTTTTTCCTAGGTGGCTGGTCGGAAGGGATTTCCTCATGTGATCTATGCCCGTCTTTGGAGGTGGCCTGATCTTCACAAAAACGAACTGAAACATGTTAAATATTGTCAGTATGCTTTTGACTTAAAATGTGATAGTGTCTGTGTGAATCCATATCACTATGAACGAGTTGTATCACCTGGAATTGGTAAGTAGACTTTGCTTTTATCCTTAGAAACATAAAGGGAAAAAGGTCTCAACGGTGTTTTAATTTTTCTAAGTTAAATTGTAGATTTGGAGATAACCCAGAACTTTAAGTAAGGTCAAGGAATCAGACATTTTTAATATAAGTGTTTAAATTTTGAACTTAGGAACAAACTTGTATTTTGCCTTCTAAAACTAAGTATCAGATAATTGATATTTTGCCCATTTAGAACGTTGATTTTGAAAAACATGGTGTAAAGCATTATAGATTTGAATACTTTGTGTATTGTTAGGTAACATTTATGCTACTTCTGAATCGAAGTGGTTCATGAAGTTTCATAGTTTCTGGCTTAAATTTACATTTGGTAATTTTAAATATAATGGAAAAAGTTTTCATGGTCATAATTAATGTTTTGTTTTTTTCCCTTAAAAAAATAAAGATCTCTCAGGATTAACACTGCAGAGTAATGGTAGGTAATCTGTTTCTTATAACTTTCTCCATTTTATTTTATTGACTCTATTTTTTTGTTGGCCTAGCATTAGTTTGTGTGGGTGCTGGTAACATTAACAAGAAAATAAAAACTTACTGCTTCAGAAACGTAGATTTTGGGGGAGAAGAGGGCATGCATCAACATTTAAAACTGGATTTAGATAGACTGTTATCTCTTTGGATTGAACTGCCATTTGTGAACTAAAGCACTCTGAAAAACCTGATAGAGGAATGTGTCAAAAACATGTTTTTGAATTTATAAAAACTGGCTATTTTGGAAGAAAATCTCACAGAGCCAGCTTAAGTGGGTGTGGTGTGTTTGGTAATTTGGAATTGTGTATGCATATCCTTTAAAAAATCAGTATTCTAATTTTTCTTCATTTTAACCTAACTTATTTTTATGAATGATGATGTTGAGAATGATTTAAAATTGCATTTATTAGTATTTTTTCATTTTTATTACATTTTGAGTAAATAAATCAAGACTATTTTAAAGCATATGGCCATCACAGTTCATCTCATCTTATTTTTATTTTTGAGTTGGAGTCTCACTCTGTCACCCAGGCTGGAGTGCAGTGGCAACACTCACAGCCACTCCAGTGTCGACCCACTGGGCTCCTCTGGTCATCCTTCTGCCTCAGCCTTCCGGGAAGCCAGAACTACAGATGCGGGCTACCACGCCCAGCTAGTTTTTTTGATTTATTGTAGAGACGAGCTCTCACCAAGTTGCCCGGGCTGGTCTCGAACCTGTGGGCTCAGGCAAACTCCCCTCGACCTCCCAAAGTGCTGGAATGACAGGTTGACCCACTGAGCCTGGTTCATCTTATTTTTTAAAAAAAAAAGTGTTTTGAGGTGAGAAAATGAAACACAAATATGAGGATGTGTGCTTTTGTTTTTAGTGAAGTGTTTGACAATGTAAGGTATTAAACTTTCGTCTTTATTTAGAACTTGCTAATGAACTAAAATTTCTGTAGAACTAACTAATTTGGAGAGAAACTCTGATGAAGGACCACTGTCATCTCAGCAAGGTGTGCTGTTGACTGGGGGCGAATTAGTGTGTTGGCACTGGCAGCTTTTTTGTTGCAGAATCTTAGCAGTGGGTCAGAAATGCCATGTAACCCTAAAAAAAGTTTAGGCAGAGCATGCGAAGCTCACTTTTATTCTCCACCTTTCTTCCATGTCCATAACAATGGAGGACTGCAGGGCCTTGTGGCGCCTGTTAATGTTCATTGGGTTTCTGAGACGAGTTGTGTTGGTCTTGGCAGGGGGGTTTTATGATTGGGTGAAGCTCTGCCTCGGTTACACATACACTGATGACACGGTACTTGTTGTTTTTGTTTTTGTTTTTTAAACCAGACATCTTTCAGATCCTCACTATTCTTCATCCAGGGTTTTGGAGTGGGTGTTTGGGGTTAGGCGACGAGAGTGTTAACTGTAGTGGGGGTGCCCATGAGGAGGTCAACATTCTGAATGGCCATCACACCTCCTGCCTATCCTAAAATTGCTGCTGTTCTGCATACCTGTTATTGTCTGTGGGATCGGTCTCCTACGTGACTCCAGAGCTGTATTCAGCCGTGTGGATCCCCTAGTGGTGGTGGTGTAAGGACAATCTTCAGTGACTGACTTCCTCAGAAAACAGCAGGCATTTCTCACAGCTCCCTTTGGATTTGGACAGAGAAATAATACACGACCAAGTAACTGAAGTTAAGAAAATGGAGCAATTCCTTCACTTTCAAGTTGAGGTCTTGGGGTAGTCATTTCCAGCCTGTCTCGTCTCTTTCGTGAGACTTTCCGTGACCACACTGACCAGTGTATTCATTTTAACAGTACTTAATGAGCGTGTCTTGCCTGGTGCTCTTCAGGAATTCCAGGGATGCTAGATAAGAAGATACATTTTTTTGGGGGGGGGGGATGGGATTAACAGTCGCAAATATCTGTCTGGGGAAGAGGAAACACCTCTTATCAACAGGGTGCCTGAATGAAACGTAATTGTACACCTAACCCTTAACTGTACCCCACAAAACCATAATAAAAAATATTGATTTAAAAAAAAAAAGTTACATTTTCTTCACTCTAGAGAGCTCATAGTCTAGCGGAGGAGAGAAAGAGTAAATAAGAGAGGGACAGACAAGTGCTGCGGCCAGCTTGCTGGTGGGAGTAAAGAATCCAGACCTAGGGTGGGCATCACAGTTCCAGCTTTTTTGTCACCTATGGAGAGTACATTGTTTACCCCTTCTAGGACATTTTATAACAGCTATGTGTGACTGCTCTAAAATTATGGTTCAGTCATAATAGCTGATGCTTACCGAGTACTCCCTGGGTGTCAGGTCCTGGGCTACACTGATTTGTGAGTATTGTGTCATTATTGTCATAATACTGCTACATGGTAGGTGGGATCTTCTGTACTTTACCAGACGGAGAGAATAGTGCCTGGAGAGGTCAGGGAACTTGCTGAAGATGAGACAGGTGGGAGGAGCTGGAGTAATGCGTGCTCAGTGTTTGATATTTAAACAGTAGAAAAATAATGCGAAAGATTGTAAGCTCCATGAAGGCAGGGATATTTGTTTTGTTTATTGATATGTCCCAAGTACTAGAACTGTACCTGGAACATAGGTGCTCAAGAAATATTTTTTCAGTGAGTGAATTTGCTGAACACTAGCCCATGAAAAGAAATACTTAAAAGTTTGGTGTCTGTTTTTCTGGACTTTAAAAAATATATACTATATGTTTTTTAATTTTATTTTTTTGAATAGGCAAGACATGGTCCATAAATCAAAATACTATAAAAAGGTATACAGTGAAAAGAAGTGCTCCCACCCCTGCCCCCATTTCCCCCCACCTCAGGTAATCATTTTTATCAGTTTCTGGTGTTGCCTTCCAAGGTTTCTTTATGCAAAAAATACATGTGTTATTTCCCTCCGTTCTTACACACTGTTCTGGACCTTGCTTTTTTACTTACAGTCTATATATATATTTTTTAACTTGCATATGATCATAGAATACAGTGGTGTTTTTTAATTTGCTCTTTTTCTTTTGGCAAAAATATATTGCAGACTTTGATACTTAGAGATGTTATGATTGCTTATTAAGCTAAAGAGTCAACTGAAAAGCAGAAGCAATGAGTATCAGGTTGACCAGTTGTATCCTCAAATCAGCTAGCAAAAATACATCAGCAAAAAAGATCCCGGTCGCTATAACAACAACAAGAATCCTTAAGACATCCAGGAACTAATTAGAAGTGTCAGGAACTGTATGCAGAAAAAAAAATCTCTGAACTTTGTAGAAGGATATGATAAAAGGCTGAATAAATACAGACATACCCACGTTATACCCAAAACAATATTTTCTTTGTATTATTTTTATAAACTTTGGCCAACATTAGCGATGAGAGATTGGGTTCAATTTTTTATTCATATATAATGATCTGTTAAGAATCATTTTGAGTATCTTTTTGTTTCCACAACATTTTCTAAAGAGAAACTTTTTTGGTGTGGAGTTCACGGGTTCAACAAATATCATGGCTTTTGGTGCATGAAAATGTTTTGTAAGAGGTTGTACACAGACACTTGAAACAACAGATTATTCTTACTGCCTTGAAGTAGTCTCAGTTTAGTAAGTAGCCACATAACTGACATTTACATGTCAGATTCTTTTCAAAGATTAACACAGGAAAAGATAAGGGACATGATATACGGGTTCTTAATGGAAAAGGGAATGTCTTTTTGTGAACTATTAATTGACTGCTCTAAGAAGAGATAGATTTGTATTAAAGTTCAGTCAATTGATAAATTCTGGAGTAGTATTAGTTCAGAAGTAGTAAAGGCTTGTTTGCTAAAAATAAAAAGCAGGTCCTAAAACTATAGCCCAAAATCAAAAGGGGAGGTTCTGGGCAGAGAATTAACATTTTAAAAATGCAATTCAATTTCAATTTTATTTTTTTCATACAACAAAGCAGACGTTTTCCTAGTTTGTTAATGGAAAGGTATTGTGCTATATCAGCTAGAATCTGGCTTTGCTTATTAAAGTATAACCACATGAGTGAAATATGTTGATTACTGGGTTTTTTTCACATCACTTATTTGTCAGACATCCTTATTTGGGATGGGTTTCTAGAAGGAAATTTCAGTTTGACTTACCAGTTTTTCAGTTTTGCTTACAAATCTGTATGTGGCATTAAGTACATTTCACTTTCAAAGAATGTGTTGCTTAACAGTAATTCTGGATCCTGGAACTGAATAGCTATCAGATCCCGCTTCTGTCTCCACATTGTGATATTAGCAAAAGGTATAATTAAGTACTTAGTCTCAACTTGGACTGAATAATTGGTCTTCTTAGCTGGATAAACATTTTCCCAGCCATTTGGTTATTGCCTACCTAATGTTATGTATTTAGGTGATTGTTCCTTTACGTTTATCAAGAAACTGAGGGATACCTTCTCAGGATCATTCCTGGAGGTGGTTGGAATGTAATCTAGCTTCAAAATTGAGAATCAATCAGATTGACTGATAAAATACATCTGATGCTGTTAGCTTTAAATAAGTGTCTTTTGCTGATAAAGTGGTATGCTTTTAAAATAATATGAGAAAATTCTGAATTAGAGCTAATTACAGTATAATTGATTTTATATTGCACTTATAAGATTTTTTTTCTGGGACTAGAAGCTTGTGAAAACTTAAAATATGTTTCATTTTCTGTATAGCTCCACCAAGTATGTTGGTGAAGGATGAATATGTTCATGACTTTGAGGGGCAGCCATCGTTATCTACTGAAGGACATTCAATTCAAACCATCCAGCACCCACCAAGTAATCGTGCATCAACAGAGACGTACAGCACCCCCGCTCTGTTAGCCCCATCAGAGTCCAATGCTACCGGCACCGCCAACTTCCCCAACATTCCTGTGGCTTCCACAAGTGAGTTCTAGAAAGGATGTCGTCATCACGGCGTATTTTGTAATCATTGCCTATTTATGTGTAGTCACTTGGAGGAAAACTCCAAGTAAGTAAAAATTAAAAGTGCTGTGCTATCTTTTGTAGGTAAATAAGCATGAAACAGGTATTTGAGTTGGTCCTAGAAAAAATGGTGTTGGTAATTTCTTTAAAGGTTCTTATATATATAGTCACTTGGAATTTTAGTGATTACCTTGACGATAATACTGATTGAACCTAATTGTCTTATTTGTACCTTACTGTGACATGTAGAAGAAACTTCTTGAGCTCTCAGATAGATCTCAGAGAACTATTTAAGTAGTTAACAAGTAGTTTTGAACCCAGATATTTACATGGATCTTTGTTAATGGAATTGCAGCCTTTCTTTTAATGCAGTGTTTTTATTTTGCTTTTTCTGAGCGAGTATTACTTTCTAGTAGCCATTTCAATTTTTTTTTTTTTTTTGAGTTGGAATCTCACTCGGTTGCCCAGACTGGAGTGCAGTGGCCTCTCCCGGCCACCGCAGCCTCGCCTGCTGGCCTCCGGCGATCCTTCCGCCTCAGCCTTCCGAGTAGCCAGAATTAGAGGCATGCGCTACCACGCCCGGCTGATTTTTTGATTTATTGTAGAGATGAGGTCTCAAACCCGCGGGCTCAGGCAATCCACTCACCTCACCTCCCAAAGGCGTGGGATTACAGGCTGAGCCACCGAGCCCAGCTCATTTCATTTTCTTATTGTGCAAACTTAGAAAAAGGAATCTTGACAATCTTGTTAATAAAGTATCCCTCTGGATAAACATGAGGTATTTTATCAATTTGGTTATAAAGCTAAATTCTATGTATCTCTTTTTTTTAAGGATATATTTTAAAAAATAAGTCTTTCAAAATGGTTCTTCTTTTGTACCATGTCATAGGAGGCAGAGGGGCTGGTTAGGTTCTGGTTTTTTGGGGGCCTGATCATATGACCTGCTTCTGTTAGTACTGTCACTTATTTTTAGTCACCAAAGGTTGGATGGTGTGCTGCCTGGCATGAGAGGTGGCTTTTTAAAAACTAATCACAAAGCATTGTCCTAGTGCTGGTATGGTGTTAGTGGCATGTGTTTGCTAAGGGAATTATATCTAAACCCACAGCAGTAATAGATTTTTTAATTTTTAAAATCTTATTCGTATATATATGTATATATATGTTTCTAGTAATAGGTTTTTTAATAGATCTGGACTCATACTTTGTTAGTCGCAACCAAAAGGAGCATTAGAACAGATCAGGTTCAGTGTAGAAATGTTGATCTTTGGAATAATGGGGACTGATTCCTGTAATTGTGAGTTTTCAAAATATACTAAATTTTTCCTTCTTCAAATTTAGTATATTTCAAAATATACTAAATTTTTGTTTCTTCAAAGCAATATCTTTTTGGTTTGCTACATAAAAGTTGATACTCTCAGCATGAGCAGCATATTTGAGGTGGGTCATATAGGTTAAGCACTTTAGAACCGGAATCATTAATCACTTGCTGCTTGTTATCTGTCTGCTGTTTATTCACCACTTTGGGAATGTGACTGACAAATAGCGGGTAGTGATGGAAAATAAGATTACTGCCATTTGAGCATAGGTTAGTGCTAGGGCACAGCCACCTGCCTCTATTTATGTTACCTGGAGACTGAATTTTGTGCCTCTGTGAATGTTTACTAAACTGACTTAATTTTGACTGTTCTGTTCCCTGGGGTTGAATCTTGTTCAAAGACCAGAAAAAGTGATATGAATGAAATACAGCTAATTTTACCCCTGAATTTTTTGGGCAGATTTTCATAATTGAATGCTGTAAATGCTATAAGTTTTAGAATTTGTGACCAAACATTCCTTTAGATATCAAAAATAAAAGAAGTTGGACTGATATAGGGGAATTGGAAGACTATTTTAGATGAACTGATTTAGTTGTGTTGTTTCACTATATCTTATGCACTTGGAATTATATAATAGAATTATTTGGGACATAACTACAGTTAACCTTCTTATAACTTATGTTCATTTGGTAACTGAATATCTTCAGAGATTGTTTTTAAATATCTGTAAGTTAAAATTTTTTAGTTTCTTCTGTGTAGTGACAGTTTCTGTATGTTAGCTAAGAGTATGTAACATGTAGAATTGTTTAAAAAAAGGCAAAAACAGAGTTACCCTTAAAGACAACTTGCAGAATTTTGGGAATGAGTAGGAAGAGAGGTTGCTAAAACCAACATCTTCACAAATAAATAAATTAGGGAGTATTGAAATAACTCTCTTTAGATTTTGATTTTACAATTTTAGCTTTAAGGAAATGTGATATGCAGAGAAAACAAAAATGTTCCTTTCCCTTGATGCTTTGAGCAATGGTGACATTTACTCTCTTCCCTCTGATTATACTCCCATCTAGATAATGAAAGAATAGAGTGATGTCAGTGACAGATAAGTGTGAAATTTAGTGCTTTCCAAGTAGGGTAAACAGCATAATGCTTGCTTTAAGAAATCAAGCTTTGTCCCCTCAAAAAAGAAAGCCTTAACAATGTGGGACAGTACGCAGGATCATAGAAGGGATTTTAGTAGACTGGCAGCCAGGAGAAGCACGGTCCTCTTGCTGTGTTCCGTACGAAGAGGACAGCTCGCCTTGTGACAGTTGGGGAGTCTAATAGCATTCTTGGAGAGACATGATTCTTGGCTTGTGAAAGCACATGAAAAAGTTCAAAGTAGGTTGTTAGATGTTTTCTCATTTGTTTGTTTTTAACCCATAAGTGCTGTATTAGATGGGCAGTGGAACTAGATCTTTTTAACTTCTTAACATTTCCCATCACATCCTATTTAAAATAGTTTTCGGTTCTTTTTTTAATAAAACCATAGCATTCTGTCATTACTGGTATCAGTGCTGCCAAATTAACTTTTGAGTTTTCAAGATTTTTGAGCCTGGGTTTTTATGGTCCTAATCAGAATGGTCCAGAGTAGAGCTGGTTAGAGTGGAATGGCTAGGGGTGAACTAATGTGTTTCAGAAGCAGTTAATATGATAGACCAGGTATATAGTGAGGTTTTGCTGACATTTGAAGAATTTGTGAAGAAGTATGCCACTAAAATTACCAAGACTACTTAAAGTGGAAAAACTTGGGGTTTCTTCAAGTTGAGGTTTGCCTTTACTTGATGGTTTGGGGATTTTTTTTACTTAATAGGCCATGGGTGAGTTTCACTTTTGCCCATCCTTATAGTTGTGAGTTATTAAATGTAATTGGTCCTTCATTTATTGTATAAAATCACAGGATTGTATCTGTAAAAGTACCATGCTAATGCTTTCTGGTTTCTCTAGGTCAGCCTGCCAGTATCCTGGCAGGTAGCCATAATGAAGGACTGTTGCAGATAGCATCAGGGCCTCAGCCAGGACAGCAGCAGAATGGATTCACTGGCCAGCCAGCTACTTACCATCATAGTATGTACATGCTTTTAAATCATTTAAAGTAGTTGAGAAGAAACAGGCAGCCTTTCTAAAAGCAAATTAATCCATGTGGGCCTTAATTTTTAGACAGCACTACTACCTGGACTGGAAGTAGGACTGCACCATACACACCCAATTTGCCTCACCACCAAAACGGCCATCTTCAGCACCACCCGCCTATGCCGCCCCATCCCGGACATTACTGTAAGCTCTTGTTTTTGTTGTAAGGGCTTTTTTTTATTATTTATTTTTATTTTTACTTTTAAGGACTTTGCTTTCTTTCTATTTTTAAAATACATTTTTACCTTTTATTCATCCTTTAAGTTTGTTTCCTTGAGTAATTAGTGCTTTTCAGTATTTTTTTCGTAAAAATAGTATTATTTGTTTTTTATAGTTTTGTTATCATATCTTTTGTTTTTTTTTTTTAGAGGAATGATGTTTCTGTTTGCTAAATACATTTATTTCTCTCTTGTTGATGTTTCATTAACACCACATTGATTTCCATGCATCTGTTTGTTTGCTGTGCGTGTGTTCTTAGATCTCATGTGTAATCCATAGTGGATTGAAACTCCTAAGTGCTTAAGTTCTCGAGGTTTCCCTCGCCGTAGTTTTCAGGGTACCATGGATAATGTTGCTCCATCCGTTCTCTGTGCAGGCATGATTGGGACGGGCACCCTACAGAGAATCCGTAGTTTCAGACAGAATAACAGTTCATTTAGCTAAATAAAATCAAGAGTATAAACCTTTCCTATATATAAAATCCCTTTACTTTCATTGTGAGATTTATACTGCCACAGAAAACTTAGAAAACACAGAAAAGGGTAAGAAAAGTGGAATTACCCAGAGTCCTCCACTCAGAGATACCCACTTCTAATAGTTTTGTCATTTTCCTTCCAGTCATATAAACAGGATGTATATAAACTGGTGGTGGGGGGGGGGGATGGGCTCCTGCTATATGTATATTTTATATATCTTTTTTTCTGGTTCTGTTACTATTTTTTGTGTGTGTCTTAAGAGAATATCATTTTTAATGGCTGCCAGGCCAGCATATTGGTTAAGGGTGCTGGGTTTGAATCTTTAACTGGCTGTGTGACACTGGCAAATTATTTAACCTCATTTATCCTCAAGGGTATTAATAGTTGTAGTATCTACCTACCTCAAGCAGTATTGTAAGAAGTAAATGTAATAATTCAGCACAGTGTCTTAACACAGTAGGTTTTCAATTATGTTGGCTATTAACATCCTTAATTTAGAAGACGTAAACACCTGCTTTTAGGCAGACCTAACAAATTATTATTATATGTTGTATTATACATTGCTATATTGCATGTTACATGAATCATTCATTTACAATCTACATTAAATATTATGTAAAGCTGTAAACTGTTAAATACGACTTAGCACATAGCACTAACATAGTGCTATGTGCTAAGTCCTGTTAAACAGTTTGCATAACTTTAAATAATGGTGTGTTAAGTATCCACAAAAGTAATTCAAGAGTATTTGCTTATTATAATTATAAAGTAATCTAAATTAAGCTTTTGAGTTCTTAGACATTCTGTAAGCTTGTTTTCAACAACTCCTAAAATATGATAGTTATATTTAAGCAAGATTTATTAAAAGTTTTAGCATCAAAAAACTTTTAATAAATAAAAATGGGATTTTTGTTGTCTTTTCTTTAGGGCCTGTACACAATGAGCTTGCATTCCAGCCTCCCATTTCTAATCATCCTGGTAAGTGTGTTTCAAAGTTGATTCCCTGTATTTAGATCTTCTTTGTGGTGAGTGAAACACACCCACACAGCCTCTAATACAGTGACGGAGTAACTTTTCCGATGAATGTGGGACACGTTGTGACACCGGTGCTCAGGCAGGTGGCGAGCAGCCGGCATAGTCACACACAGACTGAACCTCATGGCTTTAACTGTCTCTGAGAGAGAAAACAGAAGCTTAGTGGTCATCTAAACTGTGTACAGTGCAGAAATGCCGGCTTCAGCACTGAATATGTAAAGAGGCAGCAGAACAGAACTGGGTTTTAAAACAGAGAAGCTGTAAAGCTATAGCTTAAAAAGCTGGGCTCGGTGGCTTGGCCTGTAACCCCGTGCCTCTGGGAGGCCGAGGTGAGTGGATGGCCTGAGCCCGCGGCTTCGAGACCCGCCTGGGCAGCGGGACCTCATCTCTACAATGAATCAAAAAATCAGCCGGGCGTGGTAGTGCTTGCCTGTAATTCCGGCTACTCAGAAGGCTGAGGTGGAAGGATTGCTGGAGGCCAGCAGGCGAGGCTGTGGTGACTGGGAGCGGCCACTGCACGCCAGTCTGGGCGACCGAGTGAGACTCTGACTCAAAATAAAAAAAGTGAGGAGAGAGTCTTTAGATGGTGAAAAGAAAAATAGTTACCCATATCGATCTTAAAAGATAGATTCAGGAATCTTTGGTTAACTGGAATTTAGAAACTGTCTTATTAAACTTTGTTCAGAAGAGTAAATAGCTAAGTGGCTTTCCTCAATTCAAAATGTGTACATACATTTTTGAAACTTACAGAGGCAATAAAATAGAAAGCATTTGAAAATAAAATACCTCAGGTCCTTAGAACACAAGCATAGACTTTGAATTTGTTCCCCTCATAATCTGGTTTTCTTAGCTGAAACGACGCAGGTATGAGGGAGGATCACCCACCTGCCCCCCGCAACACCAGAATCATCTTTTGGAGGGTAGCACACTCGGAGCTTGTTCTGCCCCAAAATGGCCAACCAGAGTTTTTATCTGGAAGTTTGGAGAAGGTTGCATCGTGATTGGTAGAACATCCCGAGTTGTGGCCAACAGGTGACCAGTTCTTCCACCAAGACAGTGCGCCTGCCCACACTGCTCTGAACATTCAGCTGCTGTTGACAAAGCACGGCATGACCCTTGTGCCCTGTCCTCCCTCTTCACCCAGTGACACCCTGCGGGACTCTTTTTGTCTCTCGGGACAAGAAAGCCTGGAAGAGGGAAAACAGAAAATGGCAGAAGCTCTAAAAAGCATTTAAAACTGGCAAGTTTAAAAACTGTTGAACGGTGGAAAAAACATCTCAATAAGCATGTTGCATCAAATGGTGAATACTTTGAAGGCAACTGAAATTTAAACTTACAGGAATAAATACAGGCCTTTTTTGGGTTCCCCTTATCACCTTAAGCTTTTTGTAACCATAAACTCAGTTTTCCCTAAAAAGATCATTAAGATATTGTTAGGAAGAATTTCCAACATGCCAGAATAGTGTAGAAACCCCCACTGTACTCATTTGTCCTTTTCAGCTGCTATTAGCTAATGCCTCATCTTTCTTTATCCATCCCCTTTTTCTCCTCTGTATTGTTTTGAAGCAAATCCCATGTAATTGTTTCATCTTAGTTTGTCTTTCCAATATGGATATTTAAAAATAAATAAATAAACACCGTTCCCATAATGATTAATGTAAAGGCTAACTTACAGTTTTTAAATAGTGCCACATAATTTTCCCTGGATAAATAATGTCCTGTTATTATGTAGATTTCAGTTTTTTTGCTAGCTATTTTTTTCAAAAGTGAACGGAAGAGCTTTGTGTTTATAATTTTTCTCGTATTTCAGTTCTGAGAGATTTACAGAATTTCTAGATGAAAAGGCCGCATTGCTTTACAGTGAAAACATCAGAGTGTGAGAACCAGTTTTAACATGCTCATCAGCAGTAGATGTGATCATTTAATAAACTTTTTGCTAGGCTGGGCTTGGTGGCTCACACCTGTAATCTCAGCACTTGGGGAGGCTGAGGCAGGAGGATTGCTTGAGCCCAGGAGTTTGAGACCAACCTTGGCAGCATGGCAAGACATCATCTCTACAGAAGATGAATCAGCTAAGCAGGCTGGTGCATACCTGTCGTCCCAAGCCACTCGGGAAGCTAAGGCAGGAGGATCGTCTGAGCCCAGTAGGTTGAGGCTGTGGTTAGCCATGATTGTGCCACTGCACTCTAGCCTGAGTGAGACCCCAACTGAAAAAAACAGAAAAACAAAACCATAAAAGCAAGGTGGAATCACATTAAACAAACTTTTTTTTTTTTAAGAGGCAAATAATTTCTGTTTTTGTTAGGAAAAAAGTTTTGTTGGTGGCACAGAAGCATTTTTTTAACTATACATGTTTACCATTTAAATTAATATCTTTAGTGGATTTTTGTATGTGTATTTGTTGTGATTTTAAACATTTTTTATGGGTCAAGGGATCTTGCCTTTCTGTAAACATTTTTTAATGATACATGTAATATACAGAAAAGTATATTACCCAAGCATGCAGTCCAATTTCCCTATAGCCACCACCTGTATAATTACCTCCCAGATTGAGGACTAGAACATTGCATTGCAGCACCCAAAAGCTCTCCTGCCCCAGACATCTTGTCTCAGTCAAAATCTTTTGCTCCTTTCTGTCCAGAGGTAATCACTATCCCACTTTTCATGGAGATCATTTTTTTGTTCTTTTAAAGTGATGAATGCATCCCTACACAGTCTAATAGTTGGGTTTTGCTTGGTTTTGGAATTAGATAAGTAGAATCCTTGTATCAAAATCTCAATTTGTGTGTGTGTGAATATATACTGGCAAGAGGGGAAACTCTGGAGTCTGAAGAATGAGAATTTTTTTTTTTTGAGTTGGAGTCTCACTCTGTCACCCAGCAGCAGTGGCTGCTCCCGGCCGCCGCAGCCTCGACCTGCTGGGCTCCAGTGATCCTTCCGCCTCAGCCTTCCAAGTAGCTGGAACTACAGGCGTGCGCTACCATGCTCAGCTGATTTTTGATTTATTGTAGAGATGAGGTTTCGCCAAGTTGCCCAGGCGGGTCTCGAATCCACAGGCTCAGGCAGTCCACTCACCTCGGCCTCCCAAAGCGCTGGGATTACAGATTAAGCCACTGAGCCCGGCCAAGAATGAGAATTTTTGCCGGCAGGATCCTTGCGTGTCATTAGTAGCTCTGGTGACTCATGGGTCTCAGTGTTCATATAGCTTGGTGGGAGATGGTCTGCAGGCATGAGGGTGATCAGAGCTGCAAAGAAAGAAAAAAGCTACCCTGGATGGCATCTTGGAATGGGATTAGGCCTGGTGTCATTTACCTAGTCATTTGGACTCAGTTTTGGAGTCAGCATTAACTCGTTGAGGACATGCATTTGTGGCAGCGTGCATTGATGTTAAAGCCCCCCTCCTCTTTTTTAAAGAGATGAGATCTCACTGTGGGGCTGGGCTCAAGCCATCTTCCTTTGCTACTTGGGTTGGGCTCAAGTGAGCATCTTCCCTCACAACTTTTGTCTTTGAGTGGAATAGGGAACTAACTTGGTCGTGTGGATGGCCCAGAAAAGGTCTCTGTCCTGGCGGCCATGGATGAGGGGCGTTGGGGGCAGCTGCTCTGCTTACGTTCCTTTAATGTAGTCAGTGGGTTAGAACCCAGATGGTCTTTGACTGTGGATACCAATGGGCCCCTGAGAAGTTTTACCTCACAGCCGCTCCGCTTCATTTCTCCTCTTACACTGGAACAAGAATATTCCAACTGGTTTCCCTGTTAGAAGAGCCTCCAGTCCTAGCACCCTCCTCACCAGCTCATTTCTATTCCTCCTTAGCATTTCTTTTAAAAACGGAATCTGGCTGTGTTACTTCTCTTCTCAGGAACTTGCGTTGGTTCCCCAACACGTTGCCCGGCCAGAAGAAAGTCCACATTCCTTGGCTGGTCCGAAGAGAGTCTCTGGTTTTGGTCCTTGTGTATTTCTCTAGCCTCATCTCTTGATTCTTTAACTGTCCTCAACTGCTTACCTAAACTGGCTGGGTACGTCATCTCTCTGTGCTTTTTACAAGTACCTTCTGTTCATTGCCTGATGTATGTTGTACTCTATGTAGTTATCTGTTGTTCTGCAACAAATTACCCTCAAACTAGCAAGCTAAAGCAACAATAACAATTTGTTATATCACTTGGTTTCTTTGGGTAGGGATTTGGAAATGGCTTAGCTGGCTCAGGAAGTTGTGATAAAGGTGTCTGCTGGTGCTGCCATCATCTTTCTGGGGAGCTGGAAGCTTCACTTTTAGGGTAGTTTACTGACCTACCCAGCAAGTTAATGCTATCATGGGCAGGAAGCTCCAGTTCTGTATGCGTGGGTGTCTCTTTACTGCTCCAGTTCTGTATGCCTGTGTGTCTTCACAACCATGACAGCTGGCAAGTGATCAGGAGAGAATAAGATAGAGCCTCATTATCTTTTAAGATTTAGCCTCAGAAGTCACATCATATCTGTAAGACCCTGTGCCATGTGGGAGTTAACTACATAAGGGTGTGAATTTCAAGCAATGAGAATCATTAGGGGCCATCTTGAATGCCGGTCCCGTGCATGCCTAGCTTCCTAAGTGTGGCAGACTCTTCTAAGATCCAGCTCAAGCACACCACTTTTGGAAGGGCTTTTCTAATCCTTCATCTCCTGCTACCAAGTACTTTCTAATCATACTGAATCACAGGTACTAGTTTACATATTGGCTATCCTTGCTTAATGAACAAATAGAAGTCAAAGTTTAAAAATTTGTATAGGTGTCTGGTTAATGCAGCCCCTCAATGTTTGATTAAGAAACACTAAAGCCGGGCTCGGTGGCTCAGCTTGTAATCCCGCGCTTTGGGAGGCTGAGGTGAATGGATTGCCTGAGCCCGTGGGTGCGAGTCTCTCCTGGGCAACTTGGCAAGACCTCATCTCTACAATAAATCAAAAAATTA